CTTCTAGAATGGGAGATGTTGGCTGAACCATCTGCTTGAATGTTACTGGGGACGGTTTCCTGCAATCAGTGAGAGTTGGGACCTTGCTTATTGGTGCCAAAACTTATACCCAAACAATCAGTATATCTAAAGAATCTGGGTCCCAAGATGATAGAATCAACCAATCAACCAAACAAAAATCCACTTTTAAGAAGACATTTACAGCCAGCTATTATATATGACATTTTTGCGAGTTTTCAAGACACGAAAGACGTCCATCAGTAAAGATAAGAGTAAATTTTTTAGCTATGTCCTCAAAGAAATAAAAAGAATAACGAGTTGGTCACATCCTCTGTTCTCCTACTGAGCCAAATGCTTATCACCTTGATGGCACATCTATCCATACAGGATCTGCGGACTAGAATCTTGAAGTTCCTTCTAACTTCAAGATTCAAAAACACTAGAGTGGTTCTCAAAGCACAGAACGAGGACCAGAAGCATTAGCATCACTTGCAAACCCATTAGAGATGCAAAATCTTGCCACTTCCTTCTCCTTAGAAACTCTAGGGTGGGCCCAGGTGTCTGTGTTTTAGAAAGGTGTGGTAGTGAGCCTTCAGTACGGCACCCTACCTGGTGTTCACAACTTTGGGTAGTTCGATCCCACAACAATGGGACTGACTGATGGAACAAACAGAATGTAGCACAGTGATAGTGTATGACACCATAAAAAGTACTGTGGCCTCGTGTTTGCCCTCTCTCGGATCGCTTCCTGTAGGGAAGCTGGCTGCCATGTTGTGAGGACTTCCAAGTACACCTATAGAGGTCCCTGTGGTGAGGAATTGAGATGCCCCGTCATCACTCACTTGTGAGTGAGCCATCTAGAAAACAGATAAGCCAGACTATGTCCAGACACTGGAATGCAACCTCATGAATGACAGCACGGTGAGCCATTCAGCCAATGTGCTCCCGCAATACTGACTACAGAAACTGTACAGAGTAATAAAAGCCGATTCCTTCCAAGAGGTGAGTTTTGGGGTAATTTGCTTCATTGTCTTAGGTAACTAATATACAAACCCTCCAGTGCTTCTGACACATGCTGAACTTGAGAACCACTAAGCTAAAACATCCATTCATTCTCCAAGTAATTATTTCTCATATTTCCTATGTGCTAGGCTAGAGCAAGAACATGATGGACAAAACAGACACTTTCCAGCCCTCGATGCACCCTGTTCTTTTCCTTTATTGCATAGTTTGTGATTTTATTTTATTTAGGGAACACACACTTATGTGGGTCACCCACTGCACCCTGAGTTTTTGGCGATTGGACCTTTGCCTGGTTTCCTTCCCACTACCCCTGCCTGTGCCTAGCCCTGTGCCTGCTACATGGGAGGAGGTGCCTAATTAATATCCACTTAGCAGATGGCCTTTTCCCTTCCATCTTCCCCATCTTCCTCCAATACGATGAACTGAGGCCCCAGGAACAGCAACCAATAACAAGACATTTAAGGCATTCAAGGTGTGATCCTCTGGGAAGCATGTGGCCATTGGCTATAAATTTCCATGGAAAGAAATGTCTTGTATGTTCAAAACAGTCAACTTTTAGAGTCCGTCTATATTATACAAGCAGATTCATAAACACATACAAAGGAAATACATGCAGTGGGTTTAGAAATATAAGTAATTAAATGTGAGACTATTTTCCTTTACAGATGATCACATCAATAAAGTACAGGGACTCATCTTGCTTTACCTCCAGGTGGAGCCCTGTGTTAATGAGGAAAGCAGAATATCAGGAAAGTGCTCTTCTCTGAGAGAGGATGTCCTACTGACCCCCAAACTTGCGTAGAACCCTCCACTGTGCACCCAGAAATGTCCTGATCTCACTGACCAGCTCAATGATGGTTTCTTCTGTTCAGCAAGGGACAGGAGAGGTGAGTGTCTGGAAATGCTAAGTTGGTGAGATAAGAAGTCAATAGTTTTTTTCAATGTCACTTTAGAACATGAAGGAGTATTTGGAGAACAGGTTTGTTGTTGTTGTTGTTGTTGTTGTTGTTGTTGTTGTTTTTAAATGTAGGCTCCACACCTTGTGTGGACCCCAGGGCAGGGTTTGAACTCATGACCCTAATAAGATGGTGACCTGAGCTGAGATCAAGAATCAAATGCTTAACTGACTGAGCCACTCGGTTGTCTGTGGAGAATACTTTATATAACAGAAGACAACTCATGGATTTTTCAAAATTCTTGTGGCAGAAAGTTGGAGATGTGAGTGACACCATTTTACCAATACTTAGGAAGATCAGAGAATTTATCAAACAGACTCTGGCTCTCAGCGTATTTCTGAGCAAGATCAAAGAGGAGGCAGGCCAATGGCAACATCCGTAGAGTCTTCAGAGGGTGAACAGTGCCCTGCTGGGCACAGCTCACCTGGGCTGCCTCTCCTGCCCATCCTTCGTGAGTGCTCACACTGAAATCTAGCTGGGGACTAGAGCAGCAAACGAATGTGATGATGGCAGGCCAGGTCTCCTATGACATTGGTATCCCCAGTCATCAAGCACAGCTCTCCCACTGGAAATTTAAGACTTCCGTAATTACCACCTTGCTCTTTCTCATTTTTCCGGGATTAGCAGAACTCGCAGTGCTGTCCTGTACAACTCTGTGTGATGATGGAGATGTTCTCCCTCTGCACTGCCTACCAAGGCCAGCAGTTGCGAGAACACATGGCTGTTAAGAACTTAAAAGGAGGGTGCCTGGGTGGCTCAGTTGGTTAAGCAACTGTCTTCAGCTCACGTCAGGATCCTGGAGTCCCAGGATCAAGTCCCACATCGGGCTCCCAGCTCCATGGGGAGTCTGCTTCTCCCTCTGACCTTCTCACCTCCCATGCTCTCTCTCACTGTCTGTCTCTCAAATAAATAAATAAATAAAATCTTTAAAAAAAATAAAAAATAAAAAAAAGAACTTGAAAGGAAGTTGGGGCTTGAGGAAACAAATCTTCCCTCTTATTTAATCCTAATTAATTTACACATAAATAGCCACATGTGGTGGTTGGCTGCCACTCGGGACAGGACAGTGGTAGAAAACAGGAATCATTGTAAATCCGTAAATCCGTGCACCAGCTCACCTTGAGGAAGATTTTTATCATTCTCATTTCCTCTAAGAGCACAGGGAGGCTTGCAGGAGGAAGAGACCTGCCCATGATCAAAAAAGTACTAAATGGCAGAGAACAATTCACACTTCACCTCTCCAGACCCAGTCAGCACTCCTGCAATGCCATCGAAGTGCGTTTCCCCTTCTTCAAGTCAAAGAAGTCTCAAAGGCAAGCGTCAGCCTCTGAAAACTCCAAATTCTCAGTAAGGAGCTATGAAAGGAAGCTAGCCATATGTGGCAGGATTCCTTCCAACAAAAACACATGGGAAAAGGTTTCTCTACAACTATGAGGCTCTAACTTGAATCTTTCGAACTACACATCACGGTAAGCGTATTTGACAGCCCTCACTGTGCTTGAAAACTTTTGCTCCAAGCAAGAGATAGCCCCATGAATTCATGAGAAGGCAACAATATGAAAAAGATTTTATTAAACTTCTGCCACATCCTATTATGCTGTCTAAGCTTGATTCTATCCGACTTAACCTTTGCTGACAAATGAGATTATACTTTCTTTCCTAAATCAACAGGATCCCATGAAATTGCACAAAAGATAAAGTATTTAGCATTTCAGGACTGATTTGGAAATAGAGTGTCAAAGCCATGACGTTAGAAGGGGGGTTAGCTATCCCTAAGGAAAATAATCTGCAGAGTCATATCGTAAATTCTGCCTTGAATTCTATGTAAAATATTTCACATTATTGTAATATCAGAAACTCACTCCAAAATCCACCTGAAATTCTTGTATCCAAACTAAACCATTGCCATCTCCATAAATCTCTCCTTTATTCACAGGGACCCACTGTGTGGCCCAAGTTAAGATACAGGGTTGGAAATTCGTTGAAATTAGGGTAGAGAACATCACAGTTTTTTGTGGACAAAACTAATATCTTTTGGTTCTGTTGCAGCTATCATATTGCCAAAGGGATCAGAGATATTCCTTGATATCACCCTACTTGGGTAAAATCAAAAAGATAATGGGATGATTAGCTGAAACATAGGTAGAGAAATGGGGTTTAAGACCACACGTTTTGAGGATCAAAGCCTGGCTGCAAAAAATATATATATAATAAGCCAAGTGTGATGATCCTATTAGATAAAACAATCCATTTTTTAGATTAGAGCTAGTGCACTCTGGTAGCAAGAGCTGTAGAAGGTCCTAGAATTATTTTCATCAGAGCCTGCACCTACTGTCTTACAGCACATGACACTGTCGTACCTTCACAAATTCAGCTCCTTACTCTGGCATCACATGGACAAAGTGAATGGGTGAGTGGGTGGTGGGTCATAGATGACCCAGGTGGGGTCTGTGTGTCCTCCCCTTGAATCCCATGGGGCCCTGACTACTCTGACCCACAGAATACAGTACAAGTGACCCTGTGCATGTCTCTAGGCCTCAGCCCTAAGAAAGTTGCTGGGAGACCCAGGCTTCCATTTAAGAGGTCCAAGTATCCTGAGACCACCATACAAGAGACCACATGTAGGCACAGAGTCAACAGTTCCAGTTGAGCCCACCCTCCCAGCCATCCACACCAAGAGGGCCAACCATCGGAGGGAAGACATCACAGGAAGCAGTTGGATACCACCAAGTGACTCCCTTTGGTGCCTGTGGAACAGAAGAATCACCCAACCAAGCCCTTCCTGACCCACCAAATCATGACAGAAAATAAAACAGTTCTTGCTTTACACCTTGAAATTTGGGGGGTACTTTGTTATGCACCAAGAGATAATCAGAAAAGAGTATTTCTACTATCTTCAGCTAATCTATGCTTCCTCTAAAACCACCTTCTAATTGCTCTGATTAAATAATGCAACTATACATTCACTAAATACTAAGTTTAACCCTGCCAGCCTGATTATCTGTTTTTATATAAACTTACCAATGAAGCCAGAAGATGGTGGGTTGGGCTGAATCTTCTCCTTGGTGTTCTCCTGGATAATGTCCCAAAGCTGCCATATAAATTTTGGATGAAGAATGTAAAATGGCTGATTTGGGTTTCTCTGACGGTGCTGAACATACGGAGTGAACAGGTTGTAATCTGGCTTCTTGTACCACTGAAAAAAAAAAACAAAAACAAAACACAATCAAGTACAGAGCCTCACACTGTGAAAAGGAAACTGGGCAGCACCTGGGGTGGGGGGAAGTGGAAGCTACTTCCAGGCTGAGGGAACAGGAGGGGAAGGTAGTTACTGTCACTTCCTTAGGCGCTGCCTCACTGGACAAGGGAACCAGAACAAAGAGAGATAGGGTTCCAGCCCTGGAGGACAGATGCTTTGTCTTTAGTGAAAAATGGGAAGTGAGGTAGGGCAGGGGTGGCGGACTCTTCTGTAAAGGCTCAGACAGTAAACACTTTAGGCATTGTGAGCCACACAGTCTTCTTAAACTAGTCAATTCTTCCATTATACTGACAAATCACAGCCGAAAGAGCACAAATGGGCGTTATGTGTCCCAATAAAACTTTATTTATAAAGGGCCATATTTGACCCCTGGGCTCCATCAGTGTATTTCAAAAACATGTGTTCCATATCTAATGTGCAGTAAGAGAAAGCATGCCAGTTATTCCCTAGGTCTGGGGTGGGACTGGGAAGACTGACAGGTGGGACATCAGGAACTCTTGATTTTTTAAAAAAATTTTTTAGATTGTATTTATTTATTTGACAGAGAGAGAGAGAGAAAACAAGCAGGCGGAGCAGCAGGCAGTGGGAGAGGAAGAAGCAGGCTCCCTATGGAGCAGGGAGCCAGATGCAGAACTCAACCCCAGGACCCTGGGATCATGACCTGAGCCGAAGGCAGACACTCAACCAACTGAGCCACCCAGGTGCCCAGAACTCTTTAGAGTGATGAAAATACTCCATTTCCTAACTGTGGTGATAGATACATGACTATATAAATTTGCTAATACTCATAAAAATGTATACTTCTACTGATTATACATATGTTATGGTATGAAAAAATGCACAGTAATGTTGATTGTTTTTTAAATGTCTTTAGAATGTCTCAGGTGCCATCATGAAATGGGATTTGGAGGTATGTGGGGGAGAGACTTAGATCATAAGGCTCTGAGGACCCCATTATCCCTACGAATAGACACCTTGGGAGATAGTAGGTATATATTAAGATCCAAAGTAATATTCCCGGGTTGTATGGGTTCTGTGGCTTCAACAATTTTTGAGAAGGGCTAGGCCCAGTCATCTTTAGTAAATGTTGCCCCCAGGCCAAGACACAGCAGGGGGGAAGCAAGAGGAGTATGGGTCTCAGTTTCGGCACCCCCCCACCCCCTCCAGAGCACAGACCACACAGAAAGTAGCCCTGTCCCCTGGATTTTCGCACTATCATGCTCATGCCATTGGGTTGGACAGCACTGTGCCCTGGGCTTGGTTTCTTCCAAAGGAGGAAGAAATAAGGTCCCATGCTTAGGGCTCTCAGTCTGTCCCAAACAGTAAGAAACTGGTCAGAACTTAAAGCCAGGGAACTTCAGTCTGGAAAGGAAGCTGAAGAGTTCCAAAATGCATTTCATGTTTGATTCTTGGTAGACAGTACCTGTGAGAACCAGCTAGAGAGTTTTCTCAAAAAATACCCACTCAGTCTGCAGGCTACATATCTGGAAATGGGGCTCTGACAGATATATCTGGAAAATACTCTCCAGATGATTGTGGTTCGTACTCCTAGTTAAGAACCAGTTAGCAATCATGCTAGGTAAATGTCCAGCCTCTGTCTCAAGATGCACAGTGACAGAATATCCCCGGAGGGACCCATTTGACCTTGGACAACGGGTCTGTTGGAAAGTTACCTCTTTAGGGAGCCAAGATCTGTTCCCCCACTTTCATCTTAAGGAAGGATGCATTCTCTTAGGTCATGGCAGAATGAGTTGAAAGATGCTTTTTGGCACAGCTCACAGCATCTTTCATGAAACTAAACTGTCCTACATCTTTCCCAGCCCTCCTTAAAAAACAAGTGCACTGGCTTTTCATCCAAGTTTTGGCCAAAAGTAACTAGCTGCTCCTTTAGATGGGCAATGATTTGCCAGAATGCCATGAATGTAACTCGCTTATATTTTGATGGCTAGTAATAATCTTGTTTACACTATACCATGTAAGATTAAAAAAGGTTTAGAGGCAGAAGCCAAAGAGTGTGGCACACTCCAGAAAAGCCAGTAATAGGTTCCACTTAAAGAATAATAAGCTGCTGAGTCACAAAGGTTAAATTCTCTTGCCAAGCACTTTGAATTTACTTCAGAAGATCTTGTAACTAGGAAAGTGAAGTAACCCTATCACAATGGAAACATTCTGAGTTTACCTGGCCCAGCCTCTAGGGTAACTAGGAATATCTGAACATTTCGACACTGTAATTTGTTTTTGTTTTTAAATCCTCGAGAGCAAAAGCCCTTTTTTCATTAGATAGACCATGTTCACCAAGTATGCTCTGGGAACTGGGTATCAAAACTATGATACGCATGTATTTAAGTAGCTCCCATGATTGGTTTCCTTCTGTGAAAGTTTAATCCTTAACCTGCTCCCATTATTAATCAGTCAGACAGTGCTGTTAGGATAGGGGCACTTACCCTAATGAAAACACTTACCAGATTAAGATTTGCAGAATAAGGAGCAGGGTCCCAGGCTACCAAAATGACATCTTTATACAATGAGCTGTCAATGAAGTGATGGTTGGGGTTGGTCAGAATCTGCAAATACAAATGAAAGGCATTTCAAAACAAATGTTTTGTTCTTCAGAATTACATCTTAAAGATAAAATGAAAATTTAAAAAATGAATCAGAGCAAGAAAAAAAGGAAGTTGTTCAGACTTTGTCATTTCCTCTGCAGGATGGAGAGAGCTGAGCGTCGCATGCTAATGTGAGTAAAGAAATGTCTTTGGGGAGGGATGCCTGGGTGGCTCAGTGGGTTAAAGCCTCTGCCTTTGGCTCAGGTCATGATCTCAGGGTCCTGGGATGGAGCCCCACATCAGGCTCTCTGCCCAGCGGGGAGCCTGCTTCTTCCTTTCTCTCTGCCTACTTGTGATCTCTGTCTGTCAAATAAGTAAATAAAATCTTTAAAAAAAAAAAAAGTCTGGGGGAAATGAGGGTTAAAAATAAAATCCTCCAGCACCTCTATTTTCACCAGCACTGTACTCATAGCTGGTAGCATCGAATCAGCTCCCGAAAGATGCAATGCCCTAGCTAATTCAGGCACTCGCAACGTCTTCTCCAGTTACTTTCACAAGTGTTTGGAGAGGCAGGTGCCATTTTGGATGACCTGCCTTATGATGGGCCAGCTGGTGGACGATGGCAGCTGCCATGTGACTTCCTCCCTCTGTGTCCTTATCTGGTCCTGGAGGAGTCCTTTGATCTCACTTACTAATCATCTTTTTTTAACCACAATTTTATAGGGGAAAAAAGTATTGGTTTTCATCAGTTTTCAGTTCTCGAGATGTACTTTCTCTCTTCACATTTGAAGTTTTCTCAAGCCAGGGTGTATCTTACAGGGAACACATATTTTCGTTCAGTGGAGGTAGCTAACGCTGAAAAGCTGGGAAGCTGTGATTCAGTGAATGGTGGCTCCTACGATCGATGGCATCTACAAAGTGAAGAAATATAGCGATTGTTTCTTCCTTTGCTGCAGGCTGCCCAGCTCAGGGTACCACGCAGAAAGCTAATCTTTCCTCCTGCAAGCAACCTGTCATAAATTATCCATCATCTCATGTTCTTTCTCTATAGTTTGAAACTCTGGGAACTGCTGTGGTTTTCAGAATAATTTTGCTTTGAACTTGGAAAACATTCTTATGGAGAACACCAGGAAAAAAAATACTCCCGTTTTTAACAAAACAATCCATTTTCTTTTTTAAATTTTTCAAATGACGGACTAAAGTTTGCAAGCCACCCTATTGACCCTTGGATTTTGTAACCCTTGGTTTTCTTGCCTTATCGCCAGCCTTTCTCATAGCTGTGATTTCTTTTAAATTTAACTGTCTTTTCCTCCATTCTTAAAATGCAATATGCTAAGTCTATGATTATGTACATACACGTGTGTATGGATATACACACATATTTTCACATGTATGTTGATCCTTTTTTTAAAAAAAAAATTTCAGTGTTCCAGAATTCATTGTTTATGCACCACACCCAGTGCTCCATGCAATACGTGCCCTCCATAATACCCACCACCAGGCTCACCCAACCCCCCACCCTCCTCCCCTCCAAAACCCTCAGTTTGTTTCTCGGAGTCCACAGTCTCTCGTGGTTGTCTCCCCCTCCAGTTTCCCCCAACTCACTTCTCCTCTCCATCTCCCCATGTCCTCTGTGTTATTCCTTATGCTCCACAAATAAGCAAAACCATATGATAATTGAGTCTCTCTGCTTGACTTATTTCACTCAGCATAATCTCTTCCAGTCTTAATCTTTCCTTTTAACCTTATTTACTCATTTCTTCCTATTCATGTCACACATAAGTTCCTATTTATCTGTATTTTTTCTCAATTCTTTTAATTATAAGACCCATAGAAATAAGCAAGACCATGGTCATGAAAACTGGGTAGTTTCTCTTCACTCACCCAGTAAGATGTAAATCCATGAAGACACCCCATCCATCTTACCTGGGAATTAATGATGCGCACGGTGGTTTTATTTCCAACATCTTTCTCGTAGCCGCGTGTAGGAGCAGAGTTAAATCTCAAAACTGCATCATGAGAATCTAAGGGTACATAAGTGACAAACTTACTGTATTTTTTGCTGTCAAATCAACGTAATTTAGAAAAAGCATTAAAGCAAAGTTTTCAATACCTGAAGCTAATAAGAAACAGCCAATTAAGTTAAGATACCTATACACATATTTTTCAGTATAGTGTGTTTATAGGATGGGGTCCCAAGCTTGGGGACATATGGAAACATATGAATCCATGACAGGTGGTCCTATATCATCTATATGTGAAGCTATATTTAGATACTCCTTATGTGTTCACATTCTTTAAAGGTAACCTGCTCTATGCAGCCATTCTCTGAACGACTGTAGAGTATTTCAAAGATGGAGTCTGTGGGAGCAGGGAAGGATGCTGCAGACAGGGGCTGCCTGCGTGGTTCTTGCCGCTGGGAACATGGAAGCTTCTCACGGTCCCGCTAATGCCGCTGCCTGCACTGAGACCAAGGGCGTCTCTCACAGAGGAAGAGCCACAGCCTTTAATGCAACTTCCATTCCTTAGGGTACTGGTTTGTGCTTAAAAAGAAAACCAGCCCTTGGGTGCCTGAGTGGCTCAGTCAGTTAAGTGTCTGTGGGGCGCCTGGGTGGCTCAGTGGGTTAAAGCCTCTGCCTTTAGCTCAGGTCATGATCCCGGTGTCCTGGGATCGAGCCCCGCATTGGGCTCTCTGCTCAGCAGGGAGCCTGCTTCCTCCTCTCTCTCTGCCTGCCTCTCTGCCTACTTGTGATCTCTGTCTGTCAAATAAATAAATAAAATCTTTAAAAAAAAAAAAGTGTCTGCTTCTGAGGCGGGTCATGGTCCTGGGGTCCTGGGATTGAGTCCCATGTCGGGCTCCCTGCTCCGTGGGAAGCCTGCTTCTCCTCTCTCTGCCTCTCTCTCTCTCTCTCTCTCTCTCTGTCTCTCATGAATAAACAAATAAAAATCTTAAAAAAAAAAAAATCCAAAACCACAGCCCTATATAACACCATAGGTTAACTATGCTGGAATTAAAACTGAAAAGTTAGAAACAAAATAAAACAAAACCAAACCAGCCATGACTTCTGTGTTTCACATACTGCTGCTGATGCCCAGAAGATCCAGGTGAGAGCAATTGAGCGCATTCTGCATTCCCAGCAGTGGTGTGACTTCCTGCCGCAGCCCTGGAGGACCGGAAGCCCCACCAATGGTACTGGCTGCCAGGGTACTTTGCATTCCATAAGGGCACACCTTGGTTCACCGAGCCTCAAGTACAACATACATCTATGTCTCTCTCCATTCAACAGGACAGATTTTTTCGAGTTCCTAGAGGTTCTGGGTGAAAACAAAGCTCCCATCTCCTGCAGGCCAACAGGGACACAAACAGCTAGAGGCAGAGGAGAGTGAGCTCATCTGATTAAGGGATGGGAATGGGGATATGTTCCCTTTCCACAAAGGAGTCTATATGCATACATATATCTGGAAATTTCCTGAGCCAGCTACTGTGTTGCCCAGAAACCGGAGTTAATCAGCAATAAGGGAATTTCTATGGGCTATCTTTAGCTTCAAAAATTCCATGCACATTTCAAGTTTAACTTGGTTGGAGCAGCAACAACGCCGTGTGTGTGAGAGAAAGAGAGAGACAGGTAAGATTACATATTTCTGATTTGCCAAAAAACCTTTGGAGGTACCCTGTGTTTACTGTGTTTACTGTGACCATACCCCAGGCAAGTCGCTAAAGCAGCCCATCTTCACTTCAGTCCTGCTACCCTTCCCAAGCAGTCTCCTTGGGAGAGGCCTTCCTGTTCCCTCAGCAGAGACTCCTCGGGCACACATGTCACCATTAAAACAGTGTTACATTAGGTACCTTTCTTGAGCTTCTGAGCTCTGAGCTCGAAAGAATTTGTATTCCAGTTTTAAGCACCAGAATTAAATAGAACACAAAGAATGCATAAAGGATTCCTGGCCATGCCATTAAAAAAATTCTCCTGTGTTGGGGCGCATGGATGGCTCAGTCAGTTAGGTGTCTGCCTTCAGATCAGGTCATGATCCTGGGTCCTGGGATCGAGTCCCACATCAGGCTCTCTGCTCAGCAAGGAGTCTGCTTCTCCCTCTGCCTGCTGCTCCCCCTGGTTGTGCGCGCTCTCTCTCTCTGTTAAATAAATAAAATATTTTTTAAAAAAGTTCTACAGTGTCCTTTTAGGGGAAATGTCGCAGGGGTCAGCAAGCTATGACCTGCCACCTGTTTTAGTAAATAACGCTGTACCATGACACAGGCACACTCATTTGTTTATCTACTGTCTGTTAATGGCAGAGGTGAGTGGTGACAGTGACCCCATGACTCCCAAAGCCAAAAATATTTACTACTTGGCTCTTATTAAAAAATAAAAAGAAAATGAAAGAGGTTTGCCAATCTCGATGTTCTAGGTGATCCATTGCTTTGCATAAACGATGTAAAAAACATGAACACTTCTATTTTTTTTATAAGTACTTGTTTGCAAATCTTTTGTAATGAATTGTTTTATTATTTATTTTTATTGAATAGTACTTTGTCACAAAAATTCAAATGATATTTAAGGAAAAATTAGATTTCCCAAATCAGTGGTTCTCACTTTGGGGGTCTTGGAACACTTTCACACTCTTGAAAATTATCAAAAACCCAAAATTCTTTTGTTTATTTGGATTATATTTTTCAATGTATGCCACCTTAGGAAGCAAAATTAGAAGACGTTTATTTTTTTATTATTTATGTATTATTATTTATTTTAAAATAAAATATTTTTATGAAAAATAACCATATTTTTAAAAAATAGTGAGAAGACTAGCACTGGTTTAAACGTTTGCAAATCTCTCTAACGCCTGGCTTTTCAAAAGACAGCTGGTTTTTCTTATCTGCATCTGCATTCTATCTGCTGCAACATATTGATTTAGTTGAATTATGTCAAGACTCAGATATATTGTTGAAAATGTAAGGAAAATTTAAGTCTTTCCAGATTATGGGGAATATCCTTCTTTGATACTTCATCAAAACTTGACAAGTGCTGGTTTCTTAAAAAAAACACAAACAAACAAGAAAAACTTCTGTAATACGGAATGTGAAACAATGTAAATGAACATTCCATGCTCTAGTCCACTGAAATTCATCCAAAGACCTCATCTTGTTCTTAAAATGGATTATTCACCCAGGCATGATTTTGTAGCATTGCACAATGATCATTTGGAGCTATGAGTTCGATTGGTAATGCAGATCTTCCAAATATTGATGCATTTCATTATAAAGTATCCCCCCAAATCACATCAGTTAAATTACCACACATCTCATCAGTTTTAAGTATGGGAAGCTTCCAAGTTTGAAACCATGTGTCTTAGGCTTGATGAAGCTGAAACCAGCAGAAAGTTTAAAGCTTGTTTTTCAGAAAACTGTTTCTACCTAATCAGCTATTGTGTCTTTTCAGACCCCTCTAACAAGCCCACTGGCTGTCTCTGCAGAAGCCTGGACTCAAGGTCAACTGATACGGCTCCAGCCTGGGAACAAACAAGATCCCGCATTCCTTACCCAAGATAAAAAGGCCAAGACCCCAACCAGTTTAAAATGGTTCTTGGAGCAAACCCACAGCCCCTCCTCCTTGTCTGAAGATAACATCCTGATGTCAGGGGCCGAATGCTGCCTCGTTCTGATGTGAAGTCTCTGCCCCAGAGTGAACACGGGATGTATGTTACATGTACGTTTGCTCAGTGTACATCTTCCATCTTTCTTCATGAGCTGTCATAAGTTTCTCTGCCCTTTTCATCCATATGTATGCAATTTCAACCCCTGTGATTATATAAAACTCATTCTCTCCCCCTTTGGGGAGGCAGATTTGAGGCTTGTCCTCTTGTGTCCCAGTTTGGCTGCATTAAATAAACCATTGCCTTGCTGCATGCCTGATGTCTCAGGGATCGGCTTTGCTGTGCATCGGGTAGAGGAACTTGGGTTCAGTTCCAAGTTCATGGTTGAAAGCTTGAGTTTTATCACTGGCAAAAAATACTGTCAGCTCTTTTCCTAAAAGTGACAGGCTTACTCAATTCCTTTTTGAGAAGTTACCTACCAAATAGGCAGGTCTGAATAAAGTATGCCTATCAGTCATTGGTTTCAAGTAAAAATTGTGTTTCATGACGAAAGTGGCTAGTGCCGCTCACGACTTGAACCACACAAGAGCTTCTCTGCTGTGCACTGGTATGCAGAAGTGTGTTTTCACTTTATTGCCCACTTTGTCTTAAAAATACATGAGTCAAAGATTGATATTTAATAAAACAAACTTTTTTTTTCATTTTTTCCTACTTCATCAAGGACATTTGTAAGTGAAACAGGCACTCTCTTCTTTCCCCACAGAGCGTGGCTGTGAAAACCAGCACGACTAGTAATGTTGGATACGACTGCCTAAAACTACCCTAACCAGGAGTTTTACCTACCTCTGCTTCTACGTCACCAGTGAAGGTCCAACAGTTCAGAAGACCCCGGTACATTATTATAAGAAATAGTCTTCACCCTATGAGCTCCTGAAAGGGCCTTGGGGACCCCAAATGAGAACCACACACACCACGTGAACTGCTGATCTGGGGCGACCTTCTCTGAGGCAGAGGGACAAGAGACTCCAGACGTGAGGTGACCTTCAGGAATGAAGATAACCAGGACAACACGAGGACGAGAAGCGTGAGGCCAGCACGTCTGTGCCATGACAATACGAGGACGAGAAGCGTGACGCCAGTACATCTGAACCACAGCCCTCCCACTAAACCATGCCGCCTTTGGACACGGGCTCTGTCTAAAGCAAAGGTGAACAAGCCAAGGCTCCCGAGCCGGGGCCGGGTACTGCAGATTAATTAGGCGGATGTTCCAAATCCCCTGTAGGGCCCCTGAAAGTGTCACAGCTTTGAAATGCCAGGATTCTGGGATGCCTGGGTGGCTCAGTCCTTAGCGTCTGCCTTCAGCTCAGGTCATGATCCCTGGGTGCTGGGATCCAACCCCACATCAGACTCCCTGCTCTGCGGGAAGCCTGCTTCTCCCTCTCTCACTCCCCCTGCTTATGCTCTTTCTTTCGCTATGTCTCTGTCAAATAAATAACAAAATCTTAAAAAAAAAAAAAAAAGAAAAGAAAAGAAATGCCAGGATTCTACCCTGGGGTGTGTTAAGCCTTCCAGGAACAGCACGGGGCATGGAAACGGAACCTGGCTTTGTTCCTTTGGAAGTGGTGGGAGTGGAACGAGTTAAAAGGTCACTTTTTGGGGAGGAGGCAGGGAGGTAGAGACAGAGGGAGGCTGCTATGGATGGAGAGACAACCTCTCCAGAGTTGCCAGCAGGAGCAGGCTGGGAGGGAGAAGCAGGTGCGGGTGAGCAGGGCAAGCCCAGAGTGTGTTTATCAGGCAGACACGTTTTGTAAACCTCTGCCCGGCTATGCATCTCCTTGATAGTGCGCCTGAAAAACTAAGCTGTCCCTTCATATTTACAAAAGGAGGAATGGATCAGACAGGAAGCACACAGGGAATAAAGTAAAGCCTCATTGCTGGAGAAGGAATTTCCAGGGTAGAGCCATTTCGTGTTGACCTTGAGAACCAAGCCAGGCTGCAGGCATCACTGGACAAAGATTTAAAAAAAAAAAAAAAATCAAAATCCTTTAAGGAGCAGCCAGCCCGGAGGTGCACAAGCGCTAAGTCACTGCCCTGCCTTGGGTACTGGGCTCCCTCATCTCCTCCTCCTTTCCTGCACTCCTCCAGAACACAAAATCTGAACCAGCAAGGGAGCAAAAGCCTTCAGTCTTTAGGGAAGGGCCTGCCAGCGATGACTCATCCCTCTCAAAACTCCACCACCCTGGCCTGTCTCACGTCTCCCTGGGACTGCTGCAGTGTGACTGACTTCCTTTGTGCCCTCCGATCCGGGCTCTGGAACACTCTCTCTCCTATGAAAAGCTGACCCATCACTTCCTTGCTTCAAAGATCGCAAGGCCTCTCTCTGCACCAGGGGCATGGGGTCAGAGTTGGGAGTTTCTGGAGAGGGAGAGTGGGGCTTAATGGAGTCCGGGTTCCACCCCCTGTGCCTCTAGGTGCCTCCATAAAGCAGGAATCATTGTATCCTTGGCTCGCAACAGGAACACAAGAGCATTTAGAACAGGACTTTGCAGCAGTAGACATCTAGAAGGGGCATCTTTTATTACAATTATTACGTGAAGTCTAATTTCTGGAGTGCGATGTGTGAGATCATCATGAGCTGCCCGCTTGCCTGCTTATCAGCGTAGGTCCCTCCCCACTCCAGGCCTCTTGCGCTTGCTGGAGCTCTCACCACCCCCTCCTCTCCCCTACCCCTGTGCCCTCTGCGTACCCCCACCCCCACTCCCAGAACTCCTCATATTGTCTTGCCTCCTTGTTACCCTGGCCTTTGTCCTGGATTTCCCTCTTCTGGGCAGTCCTTGCTAACCTCCTCTACCTACCGGCCATCAGCCCTCATGGTGGCTTAGGGTTCTGTTGTCATTTCTTCCCTGTCAGTCTGCATATCTCTCTGTCCTTCCAATCATGGGACTGGAATTGCCCATTACATTCAGTCTCCCCCACTAGACTGCCGAGGATTGGAGGTCTAGCTCTGTGCCTTACTCATCTTTGCATCACTATTGCCCAACATAGTATCAGGCCTTGGTGAGTTGGGGATCAATAAATAATCAATGCCTGTTCAATGACTATATGATCTGCTTTCTCACCTTTTAAGATACCAGGATATGTCAAACCCCAACCTCTTAACCACCAAGTACTATATGCCCCTCTTCTTACACACAGACCTCTGCACCCTCCCATCCCCCTCCCGCCACACACTTCTCAGAATTTGAGTTTCAAGCACACAGATCCCGATTTTCCATACCAAGGCTACTACTGTTGGACATTTCTCCTCGGTTGTGTGTCTGCACAGGACGGCTGATACTCACTACCAAATTATTATTGTTTATATGTACGGCTGGAAAAAAAAATCATCTCTCGGTTCCAGGAAAGATTGTTCCATGTTTCCAAAACAGTTCCGTTTGCTTTTCAATAACATATTCAAAGTGGAGGTGTTTACAACTGCTGCATCATTCTCAAAAACAATGAACAAGGTAAGACTCAGATTAACAGAGCCGGGAAACAGACTGCAACCAGCAGGGGGAGCTAGAGGGCAGCCGATAAGCAAACCTGAGGAGCAACTGGGTCTCCCTTTCGGAGACCCCGAGGGAGGCTGCCGAGGGTCAGCCTGGACGGGCCTTCTGGCAGGGCTGACGTGGAGCTAGCCTCCGGTACTTTCTTAGCTTCTTCGTCAGTTTTTCATGACACCATGGCCTTCTGTAAGTTCTCTGATCTTCCCTTAGCCAGTTTCACAAGTGGAAATCTAAGGGCCACAATGATTTTAGCTGACTAGCAGAGCACGCCCCAATATCCCAAGTCGCCTAAAGGAATCCATGGCATGAATGTGTTTTTATCAGGAGTGCCATTAACAACTCTGTGTTAAGAAGCACGTATATATCAGGGGAGTAGGAAGGAGAAATGTCAGCCCCTGGCATGCACAAATGCTGAGACTAAGAGACACACTAGCTTATAAAAAGGAAAGAATTTTTGTTGTTGTTGTTTTTAAACATTGAACTATGCTCTGATTATGGATTTTTTAAAATCTTTATTTTAAAGAGAGAGATAGAGCACAAGAGTGAGGAAGGGGCAGAGGGAGAGAGAAATAGAAACCTGAAGCCAACTCCCCATTGAGCACAGAGCCAGAGCGGGGCTCGATCCCAGCACCCTGAGATCATGACCTGAGTTGAAATTGAGAATTGACTGCTTAACCGACTAAGCCACCCAGGTGCCCCTGATTAAGTATTCATAAAATGGTAGTATGCAATTGGATTCAAAGGTACCAAGGCAAAACAATAGAGAGAATTTCTTAAAATTTCTGAGTTATGTTCTTCATTTCTGAGTGTGTTCTTTGAGTCTATAATTCTAATCACGGAGCTTCATGTAAGTGCAGACAATATAAATTAAATTTGGATGCTAGAAACTGACAAAGATGTAAGTGACATTTCCCGTTCCTCGGAAATGTGTAATTCCTGGTGTCTTTCACGCTCTCTTCCAAATTCTGAAGAGCGTTTCCAAGACTCTGGTCAGGGATATTGATGCCAGAAGAAAGAGCAAGAGAAATCTCTGTGACATGCCACGAGCAATCCACATATGCAGTGACTGTGCAGAGGTGTTTAAAATAAAGCAAAACCGAACTAGAAGCAAGTTGCTGCCTGCTTTAAAGCATAACACTTAAATTCCTTCTTACATTATTAATAATGGTCCTCGGAAACGGGGAAGAACTTCACCCCAGGGAGCTTTAAACCACTGTTCTTCCCTAATCAATTGCAGGCTGCTCCGCTCCAACTCAGGCGGATGTGGCACGTGGACACTGTTATTATGAGCCGGCTGTAATGTCAGCACAGGGACCCTGGGACCCTAGACCTCAAGCCCGTACTCCCGCCTACTTTTTTTTTTTTTTTTTAACTTTTTAAAAATTTCACATTCAGCTTCATTCCCAAGAACGTCTGAGGGAGGTCTGGGTTGTAAAGCCTGATTACAATGGCATTTCAAGTCATTCCTCAGGAACACAGAACACTAATGGACCCAAGAAACAATGGTTATTCCTTTGTAACAAGTGGGCAATGCCTCTTAACTGTCACTTCTAAGTGAGTTATGAGCTATAACTAACACCATCTACAGTTAGAATGTAGCAGACACAGATGTTTTACACTGGGACTTGCGGCCAAGGCTGTGTCTGATTCACAGTTTTCTTCCTTGGCACCTGGTACAGAAGCCTGCATACAGTAGGGACTAAACACATGTTTCTTAAATGAGTGACTGAGTCTGAAGGATCAAAATGCTCCCTCACTGGCATGGCAATGGAATGAGCCTGGGCACAGAGGGATGTTTAAGGCTTTACAGCAAAGACTGACGTTTCCCAGAGAAAAGGAATTCTGTTTGCAATGCAAGAGAGAGAGACACTGCCTCAGTTTCCCACATGCTGGCTTGCCCTACAGGCTTCAGGCTCCAGACTGCAATCTCACCTCTTACCTGAGTTTCCAGGCTACTCACTTGACCTACAAATCTCCGACTTGCCAGTCCCCACAACTGCAAAACCTTTCAGTTGTTACAATAAGATAATCTCTTATTGGGGCAAGTTGTTAAATAAGATAAATCTCTCTTTCTCTCTCTCTCTCTCTCCATCCCATCAGTCTGTTTCTCCAGAGAGGCCCAATACAGGAACTGCGACCCAGATGTGCTCCTGGGCTCCTGACATGGCTCTGAAGGCAGAGTTCAGAAGTAAAGATGGACGACCCAGGTGTGCTCCTAGATGAGTTACCATCTTGGAGAAGGGCCCTGCTAGGTGCGCTGGCCATCACCCAACTGTTGGATGTGCGCCAAGCTTCGTGAGGTCAGAACTCCCTGTTCTCATCAGAAGTGCTCTCCTCTGAGCCCACAACATCCATTTAGTCCCAGGGTTAACTAAAATTACCATCATTTATACTTCTCTTTGGAGATGACACCCCTAACTGTCGCTGCCCCCGTGGGAGTTCTGCTTTCCTCTCTGGTCCTCTCTCTCCTCTCCCATGATTCTACCATGTATGCGTTCATCAGGCCTACTGTGGGCAAGGCTGGGAGCCTGTCCACGCAGAACACAGGGTCTGTAGGAGACAAATTCTGAGCACCTGGAAGGGCCAGGGCACCGGCCTCCTACTCCCCACCAGGGGTGGAGAAACACCTCTGGTCTAAAATCGCCCCCCAAAAGACCTTTGTTGGCCTCTCCACCAGGCTCATTCTGCCCCAGGGAGGGAGAAACCCCAGAGACTTTCCCGCTGGCTTCGGAGAGACACCTCGGGCTCCGGGTCCCACGCTCCACCCAACGGGCGGGATGATGCAGAGGGTCAGCCCGAGTGCGCACCGCGGTGGGACCCACCTATCTCCTCGCCCAAGGAGGAGTTGAGGATGGCGCCGGCCGACATAACCACGGCGCAGCTCCGGAGGCCGCGCGGGTGCAGCTGGCTCAGCGGCACGGCGGGGACCAGCTTCTGCCAGCCCAGCGCGGAGAAGGGCGCCTCCTTGCCGTCCAGCGTGCGCACCCGCACCCGGCTCCGCAGCGCGCACAGCAGCTCCGCGCGGCTCAGCCCGGCCGCCCGCCGCCCGCGGAAGCGCACACCGTGCTTGTTAGCGCTGAGGTAGTCCTGCATGGCCTTCTGCAGCCGCGGGTTGAGCATCTTGGACGAGACGTTTCCCTTCCAGAGCCGGTGGAGGAAGGCCCTGGACATGGATGAGTACAGCCTGTCCCCGTCCTCGCCGTCCTCCAGCACCAGGCCCCCGCCGGGTTTCCGCTGCCTCTTCCTCGCCCGCCTTCTTGGCGCCTGGAGGGCTGGTGCAGCCCCCTCCAGCCGGCCTTGGTCCCGGTGGGAGGAGGGGTGTCCCTGCGTGCCCTGAGTGTGGCGGCGCAATCCTGGCTGACCCGCGGCAAAAAAGTAGTCGTTGTCCTCCGGGTAGAAAGTGCTTTGCGATTTTCTCCGGATCTGGGATGAAAAGAACTCTTCGTCATTTTCGAACCTGTCCTGCACCTGGGCCCATTGCGGCAGATCTCCGGGCCCCGCGTGGAAGGGGGCAGGCGGGCGTCCGTCTAGCAGCCCCTTGTGTGTACCCAGGCTCTCGGGCAAGGAGGGCTCCTGCACCGCGCCCATGATGGCCCTCTGCTTCCCCTGAATGGGCAGGAGCCGCCTGGTCTCCAGGAAGGAGAAGGAGCTGGGCGCAGGCTCAGCTGGGTTGCTGTCGGTGAAGTAAATGAAAATCACCACGAAGAGGAGGCCCCAGGCGAATATCCCGCAAAGCATTCGTTGTCTCCATTGCTTCAAGTGTGGTTTCATGGCAGGTCTCTGGGGTCAGCACCTTGTGTCTTAAAGCAGTGGGAGGCCAAATGAACCTGAAAAACAGCCAGGTCTACAGTTAGCCACCTGAAGACACCTGCTCCGACCGCAGAGGCGCCGGGGACAATCTGGCCTAAGCAGTGTTTCTGCCGGGGAGGGTTAAAAGGAGGCATTAGAAACCAGAATCATCTGAGAATTTTGGCTAAATTCCAGTGTCACATCCCCCTTTCACAGACCAGACTTCTGCAAGACAAGGGGTTCCACTGAGAGTCTTGGGAGAGAGGGGGGGAGTGGCTGTATATTTGGAAAACCTCTAGTGGTATAACCACCTCCCCACCCTGGGGCCGATCGGGGCCAGTCCCAACAACCTCTCCCTGCAACTGCCTTTACAGAATTCCATTTGGTAAAGCAAAGCAGCTGAATTAAGAAGTAGAGTCGGCCCTCTCTCCCTGCTTTATCAGAACACCAAAGGCTCAGTTTCTAAGGACTGACAGACATATCAGAGTCTTCATAGTCTCCCCCAGGCTCTGGAGGCTTCCTGGAATATACCAGAAGTCCACCTATGGTCCTGAATAAGCAATGTTTCAGAGACTGTGGCCGTGGGCCAATGTTATACCATAGCACCTGTGGACTTCAAAAATGTACCCCGAGAAATGCCCTCCTACTTCATCCCCATCATGAATCTCTGATGGACTACGAGGGAGGTGTGTTAATATTTCAAATAAAGGAGGAGATGAGGAGAGAGCTGGCTGTTTGTCGATGAGCCTCCAACAGGGAAAGGGTGACAAAGGAGGCGGAGATGAAAAGTATAAGATAAAATGTAAGGCAGAAGGAGCCTCTCCTTCATACAGTACTGCAATCCGTGTGTATTGTGACATTGCTGTGTGGGATAAGACGGTACTAAGAAATGCACTGAACCTTCAGGAATGTAAGTAAAGCCCCCCAAAGGGAAAAAACATAAGACATATGTAATAATACTGGAGCCTACTGGAGCCTAACAATGAGCACAACGTCCAACAGAGGGAGACACTGAGTAAATAATAGCTAAAAGAATGACATGAGTGGGGAGCCTGGGTATCCCAGTGGGTTAAAGCCCCTGCCTTCGGCTCAGGTCATGATCCCAGGATCCTGGGATCGAGCCCCACTTCAGGCTCAGGGAGCTTTCTCCCCCCCTCCACCCCCCACCTGCCTCTCTGCCTACTTGTGATTTCTGTCTGCCAAATAAAAGAAAAAAAAAAAGAATAACATGAGTCTACGTGTGTGTGTGTGGGGGGGGTGCTGTATGTCTGGGTGATGGGGTTGGAAGTAGGAAAAACTTAACTGAATAGTAATGCCCATCCAGGCATGGGAGACCTTGAAGACCTATCTGGATGCCAGAACCACAGGCTCTGTGAGAAATGGGGAGGAGTGAAGTTTTCTGAGCAAGGGGGTATGCCATGCTCGTTGCATCGGCTTTCAGATTTCTGTGTAGCAGGTAAGGGGGACAGGGAGGTGTGGAGGGGGGCCATGTGGGGTTCAAGGGGGTCATTAATAGAAATCAGACACTCAAAGTAGAGAGGAAGGAGCTCAGAGGGGGGACTCCTTCCCTGGCATAGGCTGATGGATGCTACTAAAAATCCAAGGCACGGAGGTGTGACCAAAATGCAACATTTGGGGTTTGTACTCAGATAAGTCCTATCAATGTGAGTGATACCTACATATCTGTAGTTACCGTGGAAGCTACACACTGTCTTTGGAGGTTAAAAAGACCTGCCAATGTAAGAAAACCACATTTATTTTGTGGCTCTGTAGCCGATTAAATATGGACATAGATTTGTTGACTCTCTTCCCATGGAGAGCTGGAGTCCATGGCTCCTGTCCTCGCATTCTGGGAGGGGCTTTGTAGCTGCTCTGATCAGTTACCCAGCTCAGGTCCAGCAGCTTCTGCTTCCTGCTTCTTAAGACACCCCTTCAGGAGGAGGCTAGCCATGAACAAAGATATCTCTCGGACCTGAGTCCACCATGCAGCCAGGAAACCCAAGCTAGCCATGGGGAAAGGCCACACAAACTCAGCGATGCCCAGACACCCTCAAGCTGTTCCAGTGGTCCAGCCCCCACAAGAGACATAAAGAGTGAAGACACCATGTTGCATGCCCAGGTGCATTGAGCTTTCAGATGGTCCAGTCCTGGCCAATCTCTGACGGTAACTGCAGGGAAGACCTCAAGTGAGAACCCGGCCAAGCCTGGTCTACCCACAGAGCCAGAGTGATAGTGATCGATTGTGGTTCTAAGCCACTAGGTTTTGAAGCTATTTGTTACCTAAGAACAGCTCACTGGGACAGGCGCTAACCAAAATGTGAAATGAGAAGAGCCCCGAATCTTCCAACACTGGGGCATCCCTGAAATGAGGGTCTAGCCTCTCAGAGATGATTTGAAAAGCAATATTCACTTACATGTATAAGTTGTGACTTTTAAAAATGTTTGCTTTACCGTATAATCACGTAAAGGCAAGGCTGTTGGTTTCATTTATAGTCAAAAAGCAAACACACATAGACAGAACTTGTGTTCGCCAAGCCAGACACGCTGATGCCATGAAATTTACAAAGAAGAAATGATGCCAGCCGTTAACCTCTGTGCCACACCCCATGCTTAGCACTCTTTCTGGACTACCTACCTCACTTGCTCCTAGGAAAGACTGCTCTCTCCATTTTAAAAACGCAGAAACAAAAGCTCAGAGAGATTGAGTAACTTGCCCAAAGCCTCCGAGACAGCAAGCAGCAGAGACTGCGTACCGACCCATCTGCTTGACTCTAAGACTCACTTTTAACACTTAACGTTAAATTCTGACTCCATTCGATCATACCACCTGAAGCTATACTATCTGTAGGGGAAGGATCATTTTTTTTTCCCTCCAAACTGTCACAACCTGATACTTTTATATTTCCATTCCCAAGCATCTGGGCAAGGCCTGACTGCTGTAAGAGATGCTAAATGCTTACCAGCTAGTTCCATACACATCTCATCAGTACCTGGTAATGAACCATGTGCAGATTTGCATAGACTGGGGACCACACTTTGAGGAAGAATCCACTAAGTGATCTTTCTAGTCCTATCCCGGAGCACATGCTTCAAATGGTGATGCCCACTCTGTAGATCTAGAGCGTAGTTCCAGGATTCAACATTTCTATTAGAAATTAGAAAAGCGAATGAGGTCAAGATGGCGGAGAAGTAGCAGGCTGAGACTACTTCAGGTAGCGGGAGATCAGCTAGATAGCTTATCTAAAGATTGCAAACACCTACAAATCCAACAGGAGATCGAAGAGAAGAAGAACAGCAACTCTAGAAACAGAAATCAACCACTTTCTGAAAGGTAGGACTGGTGGAGAAGTGAATCCAAAGCGACGGGAAGATAGACCGCGGGGGGAGGGGCCGGCTCCCGGCAAGCGGCAGAGCAATGGAGCACAAATTCGGGACTTTTAAAAGTCTGTTCTGCTGAGGGACATCGCTCCAGAGGCTTAACCGGGGTGAAGCCCACGCAGGGTCAGCATGGCCTCAGGTCCCACAGGGTCACAGAAGGATCGGGGGTGTCTGAGTGTCGCAGAGCTTACAGGTATTAGAACAGGGAAGCCGGCTACAGAGACAGAGCCGAGGAGTAAGCTCTAAGCTCGGGGTTACCTTGAACAGGTCGCAGGCTCGGTCAGCTCGGAGCGCGGCCGGAGGCAGGGTGACGGGAGTAAATCGGCGCTGTTCTCTGAGGGCGCACTGAGGAGTGGGGCCCCGGGCTCTCGGCTCCTCCGGCCGGAGACCGGAAGGCCGCCATCTTCATTCCCGCCCTCTGGAACTCTACGGAAAGCGCTCAGGGAACAAAAGCTCCCGAAAGCAAACCCGAGCGGATTACTCAGCCCGGCCCCTGGTAAGGGTGGTGCAACTCCGCCTGGGGCAAAGACACTTGAGAATCACTACAACAGGCCCCGCCCCCAGAAGATCAACAAGAAGCCCAGCCAGGACCAAGTTCACCTACCAAGGAGTACAGTTTCAATACCAAGGAGAGCAGCGGAATTCCAAAGGAGGAGAAAGCAAAGCACGGAACTCATGGCTTTCTCCCCATGATTCTTTAGCCTTGCAGTTAATTTAATTTTTTTTCTTTTTCAATTTATTTTTCTTCTGCTAATTTTTTTTTAACTTTTACCCTTTCCTTTTTTAACGTTTTTTAACTATTTTATCTAATATATATATTCTTTTTTTCCTTTTTATATTTTTTCTTTATTGGTTTTCTTTTTTTAATTGTTTCTTTCTTTTTTTTTTTTTTTTCTTCTTTCTGAACCTCTTTTTATCCCCTTTCTCCCCCCTCACGATTTGGGATCTCTTCTGATTTGGCTAAGCATATTTTCCTGGGGTTGTTGCCACCCTTTTAGTATTTTACTTGCTCCTTCATATACTCTTATCTGGACAAAATGACAAGGCGGAAAAATTCACCACAAAAAAAAGAACAAGAGGCAGTACCAAAGGCTAGGGACCTAATCAATACAGACATTGGTAATATGTCAGATCTAGAGTTCAGAATGACGATTCTCAAGGTTCTAGCCAGGCTCGAAAAAGGCATGGAAGATATTAGAGAAACCCCCTCCGGAGAGATAAAAGCCCTTTCTGGAGAAATAAAAGAACTAAAATCTAACCAAGTTGAAATCAAAAAAGCTATTAATGAGGTGCAATCAAAAATGGAGGCTCTCACTGCTAGGATAAATGAGGCAGAAGAAAGAATTAGTGATATAGAAGACCAAATGACAGAGAATAAAGAAGCTGAGCAAAAGAGGGACAAACAGCTACTGGACCATGAGGGGAGAATTCGAGAGATAAGTGACACCATAAGACGAAACAACATTAGAATAATTGGGATTCCAGAAGAAGAGGAAACAGAGAGGGGAGCAGAAGGTATATTGGAGAGAATTATTGGAGAGAATTTCCCCAATATGGCAAAGGGAACAAGCATCAAAATCCAGGAGGTGCAGAGAACCCCCCTC